GTATTTAACCCCCTCCCCCCCCACCTGCCGCGCGATGGCCAGGAACACGTCCTCCAGGCTGGTGAGGCTCAGCTGCACGTCACCCACGCCCAGCTCCTCGCGCCGCGCCTCCAGCCGCCGCAGGAAGCCCACCAGGCGGCCCTCCAGGGAGCGCTGCACCAGGTACACCACGTAGGACCGCGACTCGTCAGACGGCTCCAGGCCCAGCTCCTCCCTTTGTGTGGGTGTGTGTTTGTGTGTGTTTGTGTGTGTGTGTGTGTGTGTGTGTGTGTGTGTGGGATGGCGGATTTTCAGGAGGGACAGGAGGGGGTGGTGATCCGCGGCGTGCCGCGATCCACCCTCCGTTGTTGGTGCCCCTGCGAGTGCGAGTTGGCCCCGACCCTGCTCACGCGGCGGCCCCCGTCCAGCAGCACGGGCTTCTCCAAGGTAACCAGCACCCTCGCTCCCCATCAAACCCCTCACCTCACAAAGTCCTTGACGGCGGCCGCCCTCTTGCCTGACGCCTCCCCCGGCGCCGGCGACTCCGCTGCCGCCCGCCCCGCGCCGGCCTGCCCTATGGACAGGACGTAGCCGGCCCCAAACTTCTGCTTGAGCCGCATGCTGCTGCCGATGGCCCTGACGCGGCCGCGCGCCATGATGGCGATCCTGTCTCCCAGGATGTCGGCCTCCTCCATGGAGTGCGTGGTGAGCACGATGGCGCGGCCGGCCTTGGCCTCCTGGATGATGTCCCACACGTAGCGCCGGCTGATGGGGTCCTGTACAGGTGGGTGTTGTTTGGACAAAGGCAGAGTATGTGTAGGTAAGCCTGTCTGGTGTTGTTGAATCAGAATTGGCTCCCAAAAGGCGCTGCAGGGGGTGCTGCCAGGAGCACAGCTTGGCAAAAGGCGAGGGCCGCCCAAAAGGGGTGCACAACCCGGGGTCGCCGGCATGCTCGCACACGCTGTCAGGACCAGTGTGCGCCGCTCGGACAACGACCGTCCCTCCTCGAGCCTCGCCCTCTCCCTCTGCCCCGCTCAGCCACGGTTGCAGCGCGCCAACAGGGCACGCGCTGAGCCCCAAAACATGCCCCGCCACCAGCCCCAAGCGCTCCGGAATCACACCCCGCCACCGCACCAGAATCCCCTCAGAAGACACACCCTGCCACCACATACAACTCCCCCTCGAGGCGCGCCCCGCCAGCACCACACCCGAAACCACCCCCCCCCCTCAAATCCAACCCGGCCGCCCACCATGCCGGTGGTGGGCTCGTCCAGGTAGACTATGCGGCTGTCCCCCAGCAGCGCGATGGCCACGCTCAGCCGCCGCTTCATGCCGCCGCTGTAGCTGCCGCTGCGCATGCCGCGCGCGTACGTAAGCTTCACCTTCTCCAGCAGCTCAGACGCCTGGCGGCGCACCTGGGGGGGCGCAGGGGCGCACGGCCGGCGGGCGGTGTCGATGAGTCGCGACGGTCAGTGGTCAGCGATTGAGAGGCGAGAGAGTCGCTTTAGGTAGATAGAGCATGGACGGTTGGAGTGTCTGGAAATGGCATCGCCATATGTGTGATAGTAGACAATCATATGCCGGTAGCGTCTGCCGTGCCATGCCATTGAGAAGCGAGGCAGCCTGCAACACCCGCCTCCGCCGGGCCGCGCTCCCATCCCACCGACGCGCACCTTGCCGAAGGGCAGCCCCTTGACGTGGCCGTAGATGGTGAGGTGCTCCTCGCCACTGAGCTCACCCCACAGCACATCAAACTGCGAGAAGATCCGCAGAGGCGGGGGCAGGTGAAAAGGTGGGTGTGCGGGTGTGTGTGGGGAGCGGTCCAAGGGTGGGCGGCGGCACCTTGGCCTACCACTGTTTAAACGTCAGGCCCAAGCCACCCATATTGTTCACAGGAGGAATTTTAAGTCTCTCTAGCCCACAAGAGCCCAAAAGACCACAGTCACACAATCGTTCACAAACATACACGCACACGCAAACGCGCGCGCTCACCTGGGGGCACACGCCCATGAGGGGTCTCACGCGGTCCAGCCCGCCCTCGCTGCTGATGGGCTCCCCGTAGATCAGGGCGTCACCCCCAGTGATCGGCAGCACGCCTGCGGGTGGGCGTGCGTGCGATTGTGTGCGTGTGTGTGTGTGAAGGGGTGCCCCCGTACACACTGAGTATTCTCGACGGCACCATGCATACAGGGCATTATAGACTAGCGCGTGCTAGGACAAAGGTGGCTGAGGCAAGCAGTTTAATACCCCAGCCTGCAAGCTGTGCATGTGGACTCTCAAACCAGCGGGCCCTCACCCCCCCTATGGCCTGCGCGCATCCCAGGTGAAGCCCCCCCCCTGGCCACAGCGCCCCCACCCACCCGTGAGGCAGTTGATGGTGGTGGTCTTCCCGGCCCCGTTGGGCCCCAGCAGGCAGAACAGCTGCCCCTTCTCAATGCCAAACCAGCTGCCCTTGATTGCCCAAAAGTCCGGACCCTTGGGGGCGCAGGGCAGGAGCGCCAGCCGGCCGGTGCGGGCGCCGGGGAAGACCTTGCTGAGGCCGTACAGCTCAGCAGCAAAGCGCGAGGCGTCAGGGGCGTCACCGCCCTTTGCTGCGCGGGGGATGGTGGGGGGAATCGCAACGAGTGCGGGTTGAGTGGATGTTGGTGTGCTGGTGCTGGTGCGGGGGATAGGTTGAGGCGAAGCAAGGCTGCAGGCTTGCTCGACTGCCAAACTTGACAATAAAACTTCTTGGACAGCAAGTAAGGCCAAGCAAGCCTGGTTCAAGGAAGCCCGCGCATGCTGTGTGTGACAACCACAACCATCCTGCAAAGGGCCGGGTAGCGTCCCCCATCGTGACCACCAACCTATGCGCTCGTGCAGCAGCGCCCTCATCCGCTCCTCCTCCTCAGCGACCTCCTCGTCCCCCGCCCCGTCGCTGGACGCCGCGCGCCGCGGCCGCGCCTCCTGCTCCTGCACGGCCCGCAGCGCGGCGGCGGTCGCGGCCGGCCGAGGGCGCCAGTAGGAGGGCAGGGCGGGGTAGTACCAGGGGCGCCGCGCCCCCAGCTCGTTGGGCAGTACGTTGTTGAGGTATATGGCCAGAGCCAGGTATGCCAGCCACTGCACAAACATGTTGACATAGGCCTAAGGGGGAGGACGAGGGGCGGGGGGCGGTCGGAAGAGGGAAGGGGGCGTGAGCAAGAGGGAGGGACGATGTGAGGTCAGGCGCGCCTGCCGACGCGACTTTGACGAAGCGCGCCGGGCAGACACGCCCTTGCAATTATGTGGCAGCGGAGTCTGACGCCGTCCGCCCCACCCCTGCCATCACCAACATTCCCGCTCAAGAGTGCGAGAAAGTCAGGCGCCGCGCCCCGGCGACGGCAGACACCAAGCGCAGGCGGGCGGGATCCTCCGGATTTACGTGCCCGTTTCCCTCCTCCTGCGGCCCCGCCACCACCGCCCCCCAAACGCGCCTGCCCTATGGGGTAGACGCAGTCGTAGTCCCGGTACTCGATCTTCGTGTCATAGGGCTCCTGGTCCTCGTCCTGCGGCACATAGCGGCAGTAGCTGTAGCGCTGCGACCACCGCAGCCCCGGGCTGGAGGCCGACGCCGTCGCGGCCCCCAGGTCGGTGATGCCCTTGGTCAAGGGGTTCCAGGGGAAGAGGTTGAAGACCCAGAAGAAGGCGCGGCCGTACTTGTTCGTGGCAGAGAAGTAGTACTGGGGGGAGTAGGGCAGCGCCGCGCCGATCTGGACGGTCTGGAAGACCCAGCCGCAGATGAACACCACAAAGCCCAGGTACACGGCGCCCTTGAGGGGGTAAGGGGGAAGGTGGCCGGGCGCCGCCGGATTGTGGTGATTTT